GTCCAGGCGCCGTCCACTGTGGGGCCACCAAACACAGAGACGTGTTCGTCCAACCCCAGGCATGGTCTTGGGGCTCAGTTCCCCAGCGTCAGGATGTCTCCGGCAGCAGAAAAGCGCCCATGACCCATCTCAAGACCTTGGTGGAGCAGTTATCCCAGCAAACCCAGATCCATTGTGTTTCTAGAGACATCTCTGTCTCTTTCAAGTCTTGGCAGACTGAAAGATGCTTCAGACTGATCTCCCGAGCCGGACTTACCTGGGCAGAGGGTGGTGCAAGTGATTTTCTGGAAAGGCTGCCCGTCGCAGAAGGAGCCGCCGTTGAGCGGCGCAGGGTTGGTGCACGTCCGGGTGCGCTTCTGCCAGCCCCGGCCGCAGCGGTTGTTGCAAGGAGACCACTCGGACCAGGTGGACCAGCCGCCGTTCACTGCAAGAGGAGACGCACAGCATTAACATGTCAATGGAGCCCATTTCAGCAGGGACTGGAGCTAAGCCAAGGGTTCAGCACATCCTCTGTCCTTACATCTTCTGTGAGGACACGGAACATCCTCACAAAAACCAAATCATGAGGTTCCTCCTTGTGTCATGCTCCTCATGCATAAGATGTTCAAGCCTGCCTTGGTCCTTTTCCCACTTCCCCGTTATCTTTGCATCTGGCCACAACAGATCTTTGGCTTCATAGCAAAGACCAGCCAGCTGGGTCCAACCTCCCCACACCTTCATACCCAACCGAGAACGCTTGGAAATGCCTACACTCGTCAATTTCTCGTGCAAGCTGGGAGAAGCTCCTGCTTTGCAGATGCTGGCTGTTACCCAATATAATACAATGCCCTGGCAGGGATCATTCCCACCCCTTCCCAGAAAGGGCCTGTATTTCTCCTTGGCCTGGAGACAGGGCCGGCAGCAAAGGTCCCCTTCCCAAGAGCAAGGGCCAGTACCATAGACGATAACGGCGGCTGTGGTGCTCCGGCGCTTGGCCACGATGTTCTTGGCCATGCAGGTGTAATTAGCAGTGTCCAAGAGCCGGGCCTGCTTGATGATGAGGTTGTGATCGATGGTGATGAGGAAGTTGGTGTCTTGGGTGGGATCGATGACATCCTCGTTTCTCAGCCATTCCACCTGGTGGTACAAAGGGTGGGATGTGGTAAGGACAATGATTAAGTTGAACAAGAACTGAAAGCTCAGCCAGGAAAAGCATGTCATGGGCTTCATCTTCCTTGCTCCTCACCACAAGGGTTTCCAAGCACTTCAAAGCTAAGCTAGGACACAGCTGCTTAACAAGGCTGTTTGGGAAGGACGTGAGTCGGTACCGTCAGCAAGTGTGAGTGTGGGCACGAGCAAGGAGAAACACCAGGTTGGAGGGCTGAATTCATCAGCCCTGATGTCCCTCACACCAGCCTACGACTTGCCCCAAAGTCCTCCTAATCTTCATCAGTGAGATCGCCGATGTCCTTGGCACCACAACCATTGACTGGACAACCTTGCCTCTGACTGGATTTATTTCTCCTCAAAAGGCGGGCCAAACCAGGCCTGACCGGATCACGTTATTGCTGGTTTTGGCCAAGGGTGGGACATCATGGGTACCACCAACAGAGCTGTGGGCGGAGAAAGCGTTGCCCCTGTGCTAGGGAAACCCATAGATATTGACTTTCCCAACCCTTGGCTCTCATTCGTGACTGCTCCCCTTCAGAAAAGTCATTGGGTGCCTCCTTACTAGATCTAACAGGTTAACAGCACATCAGGAAGCGTGGGACAGGTCGGTCGAGCAGGTGCTGAGGTTAGATGTCAGAAAATCCACTGCCTCAAAACCAAACAATTCTTCTGAGTAATGAAAGTCAACGGTCTCGGCACGAGGCCATCCACCACAGCCACAAGCCATCTGATGAAGGACGTGCCCTGTCTCTCTCTCCAGCATGGGAGGGGACACCGCACCAGGCATTTCTTCAGGACACCAAGCTGCTCACCTCGGCCTGCGGGACCCCCTCGGGCGGGCGGCACTGCAGCAGGACCTCATGCTCCAATGGGACCTCCTTGCCCAGTGGCTCCTGGTCAAAGTTCTTCCGTAGGTCTGGGAAGGAAACAAAAAAACCCCAGGGGTTAGCAGCCCCAGGGTGGATTCAGGACAGCATGTGGCGCTCAAGGATGCCACCTTTCCTCTTTCATGTGTTTGCAAGCTTATACCCCCTCCTGTCTTTTCCTTTTAGGGCTAAACCTCAGCTTAACCACTCCCTCACGTTTTTTTCCTCCTCTGGGCCTTGCACTAGGACCCTTCTTTGTTGAAGGGAGGGAAAATGAGATTTGCACAACAGCAGAGCCCCCAGGGACTTGGTAGAAGATGTCAGGGTCCCGCTCCAGTCTTGAAAGGAGCAGGAGCATCACTAGATGGTGCTGCAATCCTCTCCTGCAGCACCCAGCCCTCTATGGCTGCAGATCCTGCTAGCACAGGGCAACCAATCCTCGGTTCATTTCATCTGCTCGGCTCCAAGAAACACCAAACCCTCCCAAACGGGCTCCCTCAGTAGCCAGCCCCGCACCTCATAACATTTTCCCCTTCCGCAACGTTGCTGCTTCACACCAGCCACCTCTGTTACAGAGAACGCGTTGGATTATTTAGCCCTCTAAGAACAAAATCTGTTTACGACCGGGGAAGCCTGGTCATTCTCCTACAGCTTTGCCATCTCATTTGCTAAGAGAGCAAATTCAGCCGGGTAACAGCCTGATTAACTTGCCCTTAATGAGGCTGACACCCACAAACACCAGCTTAGAGAAGTGACATATGACAGCAGGGACTCAGGGGACACAGAGTCGCTGATTCAGGCGAAGCGTGCAAGGTGCTAAAAGGAAGTGTTGGGTTATTAATGATAATAAAGCACCTGGAAGAGCTGAGCAGGCTGATGTGCGATGCAGTATTAACACCTTCTAAACTGGTGAGTTCTACTCCATGGCACTTACACGCTATGCGGACGTACGCCCGGCGGCTCTTCGTGGTGCCCGCCGAGCTCCAGGCAACGCACTGGCACCAGTAATCTTCTAAACCAAAGAGTTCTTCCACCTGCTGCCGGGACACCTCGATCTGCACCTCCCGCACCAGCATCCCTGGAAGGGGACAGAGGCATCAGCTGGGCAGGAGCAACCGGGAGAAGGGAAACTGAGGCACCATCCAAGAGGAGGGCTGCTGGAGGCACCACACTCAAGGACGGAGGTGGCAGGTTGAAGGCATCTCAGAGGCATCTGGGTTTGGCACCTCTGCAAATCAGACTGTTGCCTCTGGAAGGTGACTTAGAGCTGAAAGCAGGGCGATTCCCCATGTGGAGGAGTCTTGGCTTTTTTTTTTCCCCTGGGTTGGCTGGGCAGTTACCAGGACCTCTTGACCATCTCAAGAGGCATCACCCTCCTCTGCCAGCCCTCTCCTCCAGCACCAGCATCCCCAGCCCTGCCCAGATCTCTTCCCACTTGGCAGGTTTGAAGGATGCCTCCAAGGTTTTGCTGGTAGAAGAAACCGTATCCATCAGGAGCCGTTTAAATATAACAAGACAAATAGAAGATCTTAAAAAGATGACAAAGGTGGCACTGTCACATCCAGGACATTGCTCACCTGAAGCATCAACCCCTCATCGTAGTGTGGCCATTGCCAATGGCAGGAGGGACTCAGGGCTCAGTTTTCCTTATTTTCAGCAATACCTGCCCCTTTTTTGCAGCTTTTATTTATGAAAAGGCCTCAAGTTCTTGGCAACAGAGCGACATGCTCCCTAGCTGTAATTTTGCTACCTCGCTTGCAGTGCTGTGACAAGCAATCGCCATCTCTCTGCCACTTTCCTATCCAACAGCTGACAGACATGCACCAAGGAAATACAATTTATTTTGCCTCTAATAAAGAAAAAAAAAAAAAGAAAGAAAACAAGAAAAAAAGAAGGCATTTGGGCCAATAACTTTTGGAAAAATTAGGGCTTTTAGAAGGACCCAGGATGGAGATGGCTCAAAACTACCTCATCTCTCTGGAAAACCCCAGTGGGGTGGGTTGAGCAACTCTGGAAAGGTGGGGAGCACCCTGCAAAATGTCCTGCTATATCTGTAACGCCCCGAAAGCAAAGACTACCCAAAACTGTAGGCTGAGTTTATGGCTCACAAGAGTGACTACTTAACGGGCTTACAGGCATCCAAACACAGCCGCTCTCACCGACAGCCTCTTCTCGTCCAGCTGAATTATCCTCTCCGACTTGGCCTATTTTTGCTTTCTTCCGCATGATATGTTTTGGATCAGACACAGAGCATTACTGAGCCTGGCTCATTCAAGACACATCATCTTTAATTTTTTTGGTTTTTAAAGGTCCCTTTCTCCAAGCTTTTAACCAAGGACACTTAAAAAGCTACCAACACCTAACTGTGTTAACCTACTGCAGCTGCTTTCCCACCAACGCTGCAACCACGGAATTTTATTTATTCTTTTGAGTGCAATAAACCGTTTTGGGTTTAGTTCCTTTTTTTCTTAGGGTAGCTGCCAAACAGATAAGCTCACGCCAGCCAGAGTTTTACATGCGTGGCATCACCTCTGCACTAAAGGTATTGTCGGTTTGTACACTGATAGCAGCAACACCATCTCTGAAGGCTGGGTGAAGGAAGGCATGTGTTGTTTCCCCTCCAAATCGCTGGCACACAGTCTGCAGCTGCGGACTCCGAGAGGGAGATGCTGGCCCAAAGCAAATGAGTCCCTAATCACAAAGCTGGGAGGGGAAGAGAGCGAGGTCCATTGCTCCATCCTTGCCCTAGTTCAATGCTCTTCCCCTAAGCATCCACCAGCACTGCACGCGAACCTCTGGCTCGACCCGGTGCGGCCACACGTTATAAATAAATTAATAACCCCTCGGCAGAGAGGCTGCTCGGTCACTGATCGGCACTGACTTTACCCTAGAGGGGGAAGGCTTTCAAATCCAGCCTCTACGAGGTAGAGATGCATCCCAAAAGGGAGAAATGGCACCGTTGCTGCTCCCGGCAGCATCTGGTGAAGCAAAAGGACAGCCTTTCCGCTTCCCTCCTCTCCTCATCAGGGCACAGGTATCAAAACTGGTGCAGAAAAGGTGGGAGATGAACTAAAGCATCTCATTTTTAGCAAATCTACTTGATTGAACAATGTATTCAACTCCCACACCCTGGTCTCACGCTGAGACGTTTCAAAGCTGGGGGCAAGCAGCTCCGTGCAGCTCAATCTCAAGAAACAAGATACCTCCTAAAATGCCTAAACCACTTTTTCACCTTGTCCTCTCAGGTAGGGAAGAGCTCATCTGCCATTCAAACGCATTTCAAATCCTACCTGCAAACCACTGCCCATCAAACATCTAATCCCTTGGTGAACACAAGTAAGATGCCAGCCCTTGCTGCCCCTTGTAGCAGCGACTCTACATGTTGATTAGGCATCTTGTAGGAAAGAATTTCCTTTCTTTTTTAAAAAAAAACGGCCAAAACAGTTTTAAACATGCATAAATTTCAAATCCCATTTGACAACCCCAAGTGCTGCAGAAGGGTAAGCGTGCAAGTACACAAGCTGGCTTCCCCAAGCTTCTATTGGGGATGATGACCCACACCACCATCATGTCTTCATCAGTGGTCTGGAAAGGGGCAGCTCCTCTACTAAAAGTCACTGAGGACAAACTGTGCATGGACCAAGGACCACAAGAGAGTGGCCTCGTGAGCCTGCAATCGCCTGGGAATGACAAAAATGAATCAAAAAAACCTGTTGGTCTACTTATAGAAGAATCATCTCCAGAGTGGACGTACAAGAAAGGAAAGAGCTTGGAAAGAAGAGAGAGGGTGGCGAGGTGGGTTTGCTCACCGGTGACCTCATCCAGGCTCTCCTTGGTGACGTGGTCATTCTGGTTGACCCACTCGCCGTTGCACTTGAAGTAGATCTGGGTGGCGGGGTTGGCGCGGCAGACAAGCTCCACCGGCTTGTTCTTCACGATGTAAGCGTCCTGTGGCTCCAGCAGAAAGTGAGGGAGGGTCTCTGCTGGGGCCGAGGGGAAGGAGTCGGGCAGCACGTCGCTGTACTCCAGTCCTGCCAAGAGAGTAAGAGGGTCAGGAGATGCCCTTAGTCCCATCTCTGCACAGATGCAACTCATCCCTGTGTCGTTTCATCGCCTCCTCTCCTTCCCAGGACTGTCCTGTGCACGGTGGCGTCACCAACAGCCCCTGCTGAGGATGCTCGGAAAAGCAAGAGAGGGCTAGAGTCACTCCCCTCAAAAAAAAGAAGCAAATCTCTGCCAATCAGAGAGCTGCTGCGGGGCGCAGCCTATTTTCACCTGAGTACCAGCCCCCTCACTCATACCCTGAGCCCTGCCTGCCCCAAAAAAATCCTTCCTAGAGAAAACCACAAGGAAAAAACATTACACAAAAAGGCAATCAGGATTCACGCTATCCCAGCCCAGAAACCAGATCGGACCAGTGACCCACTGGTCTCCATCCTCCAGCTTGCTTGCTCACAAAAATAATCTAAATGCAAAACTGAGAAGAAGAGGTCAGGCCAGGCTAAGAAAAGCCTTGAGAAGGGGCAAGCACCTTGGTGCTCACCCAGAGATGTAACCCCTGAGGAGCAGGAACCTCACAGCTTGAGAAGATGCTGTGACCAGCATCAAGCAACATCTGCAGCATCCAACCTAAGAAACCCTTTTCCACCCATTTCACCCATAAAGATCAAACCCAAATAGGGCAGGACTGGTGAAAAGCATACACAAACTGGGATGCTACTGCTTCACCTGTTGTTTCTGGGCATCTCGCTTGCAGTCAGGTGATATCACGAGGCTTTTCTTTATACCTAAAAGAGTTCTGAGCTTTTCCTCCTCCTCTCTTCCCCCAGCGAGAGCTGTGATTCTCAACTCCAGGCACTGCAGCGTGCAGGAAAACAGTAAATATCCCCAGCCCCATGGTAACATCTCTGGAGCTGGCAAGGAAGAAAGGAGCCCACTCCCTTTGTCACCCTTGGCAAGGAGCACTGCTGCACGGAGAGAATCAGAGAATCCCGAGATGGAAGGAGAAGGAAAAAAAAAAAATAATCAGATGCATCAAGAAAACAAGATGACCAAGCTGCCTCCGGAGTGAAAATCAGTGAGGGGAGAAAAAAAAAAAAACACCCAGAAAAAAAACAACACACGAGGTCAGTCGTTTAAAATCCATTTAGGAAAATTGACTTTCCATTTCCATTTAACACAGCACTAAGGGAGAGCGGTAGGACATTTGTCATAATCCATTAACTGCTCTTTTGGAAACAATGAATTAAACTCCAGGCTAATTTCTCTCTCCCTCTCCGGCTGGCTCTTCCCCACCTCTCCACCGCCTGACATTTCCTTCCTCGTCTCATTTGCAGACCTGTAATTTTCCCACAGGGCCGTGAGGTGGTGAGAGACCCCCGCCCCGAAATTGTCCCACGCTTCTCCCCGTGCCTGCATCACGCCAGCGGTCCTGCTCCCCTCTCCTGCTGAGCAGCCTCTTACCTGTACCGCTGCAGCAAATAACACTTTATTTTATTTTTCAATTTACTGTTCCATTTTCCACTGAGCGCCAAGCTGGTTGTTTAGTTGGTCGGGGTGAGGGTTTTTTTCTTTTGGTTGTTTTTTGTTGTTGTCTTTAAATGCCACAAACCTAAATTCCCTGCCAAAGTGGGGCCGGCAGGAGAGAATCCAACTGGCAACAGAGGCAGCCAACAAAACTTAGCTCGTGGGCTCACGTGAAAAACCTCTCTGCGACGATGCTCTCCGCATCCCTGAAGCGTGCAGCCTGCAAAGTCGGACCTGAGCTTGGCAGCCAGGAAAGGGCTGCAGAGCATCGTCTGAAATCCTCCCAAAATCTGCTCCGATGCCCAGGGGGACTCGCTTGCCACTCACCTCCAGGACATGGGTGGCTCCTGAGCTTGGTTTTACAGCTCTAAAGGGCAGATGGGTTTAGAAAGGAGGCTTGCTACAAGGAATGCAACACTCGAAGCCCATTAGTCTCTCAAAGGGCACTTGGCAGAGTGGAGCCTAAGTTTTTCTTCTCTATCTGTGCCATTTATCAGTATTTTTTATTTTTTTTGCTTTCTCTCCAAGCTGGGCATAATATCCCAGGTAAATAGTCCTGCAGCCCCTCCCGGCACAGTAAGGGTGACCCACAAAGACCAAACACCCTTGAAGAAGCCAATTTTTGGGAGGACCTGCTCCCCTTTCAGGGCTTGCCTCTGGTAAGGCAACACTCCATAAGCGTCCCCTGACCCAAAACTGTGGGCAAGAAGAGGTCCCCCTCCAGCACCCAACAGCAAAGACACGTTTTCTGCCACCCCACTGCCACTTAAATGAGACTTTAGGTCACCCAAGAGGCCCTGGGAGCAGGGAGGCGATGAGTCACGACCCGATGGGGATGAAAATCACAGATTCTTGACTCACCCGTGGTCATCTATGGTGGGATGGGCGATGCTCTGGGACATGGTGGGAGCCACCTCGGATCCCCCAGCATGAGGAAAACCATCAGTAACACCAAAAACCCATCAACTGCCATATCGATGGGTCCCGTCCAACCCAGTTCCACATTGGGGGTCTCAAGCTTAATGCTTCAGGTTTCTTCTCCAAGGGGGTGTAGTGACTTTGGAGACAAAGTGGTAGAAGAGGATGGTCTCCCCAGCCCCATCCAGATCCAACATCTGCTTTCTACAGCTATAAAACCCTGCTTGGTTTAAGGTTTGAACCCCAAAAAACCTGAACTTTTAAAGCTGGGAGCATCTCAGCTGCTGGGAAAGTTTAAATTGCATAAAATCGCAATAGTCAAAAAGATCTTTTATTTTCAGCCAAGAGGGATCTAGAGCCAAAAAAGCAGCTCTAACAGGAGATGGGGAAAAGATGATTGGTTTTTCACGACAGACTCGTAACGGGCTGTGCCGCAGAGTCCCAAGCCCATGGCTCCCCCAGGCTCCTGCCTGCTCATGGATGGGAGCAAAGCAAGGGGGAGGCTGATTTCTCAATCCAGAAACCAGTCCTAAAGAACCGAAGGAAACATTTGCAGCTGGGCAGGGCGTTTGGCTCCAGTATGATACAGCCACTGGTATTTAAATGCGCTGGGGAAGAATTAAGGCAGAGGAACAACGGGGATTTTGGATGAGAAAAGGGAGGGGAACCATGCTGGGCACATTTATCATAAGCCATCAACTCAGCCTTTCAATCCTTCTCCTGACGCCCGACCACCCGCCGCATGGGAAATCTCCTCACTCCGCTCAGGGAGGGGCCCCCCCCAAAAAATCCACATACAGTCACGGGGGGAAGAAAGCACATCCCAGCTGCTCTGACTACCCAGTGGCAACTGCAAAATACCAAAACATCAGCTTCCCATGGGTGCTTGCAAGGAGCTGGCTATGAGCATCACCCTCAGGAACGGATGCTCTGACCCACACGTGCACGGAGGCTGCTTCTGCTTCACCCAAAGCCACGCTCATCCCACCCAGAGGCGACACCAACCGCACGCACAAGGGAGAGACTTTAGCACGTGAAGCCAGAGCAGGAGCCCTGCGCAGCCAGGACTTCCAGCCTCGCAATCAGACGAGCAATAAAACTCCCAGCAGCGACAAACTAATAAATATTGGGGAGCGTGCTACACTGCCTGTAATCATTATCTCCCTGGCAGACGTCTACAGGGGGTTCCCATCTGCCAACTTCCCTCCTTCCCGCTGGAGGTGGGTGTTTGCTTCCCAGCTCCCTTTTGGTTGTTTTTCTTTTTCTTTTTCTTTTCTTTTTTTTTGTACCTCCCAGGTTGTCACCACCCCACAGTCTCATGCTACTCAGGGTACACGGCTGCATGCTGTGAGATCGACTCCAGCACTATAACTGTATTTGCGGGGAGGAGAGGCAAGGAGGGGCCAGTTCTGGGCTTGACCTACAGGACCAAACCCTGAAGCCCCAAGGATGAGTGTGGTAGGAGCAGCACGACAGAAAAAGGAGGAAGAGAACAGGCACTGACAACTTCTTTCCTGTCCAGCCTCCTCTCCCTTATCCTTCATCACACGTTTTAATCTGCTGGGGTTGAGCTGGATTATCCGCAGCATCTGTTCCGTGGGGAGTGAACTGCAGATGTTTGCAGCCAGCGTTTGCAACTTGGTCAAAGATTGATGACCCCAAGCAACCAACCAACGCTACCAGCCTGCTCAGAGAGCAGCACCGGAGCCAGGCTTGAGCATTAACCCCCACCTCCATCACTCCAAAACACACGGCACAAGGGATAACGAGTCCAGAAAGTAAACTCCCCTTGGAGCAATGGCTGAGCAAACCTCTGCAGGAAAGCGTTAAAATCCTCTCCCCTGCAACTGTTATCCCTCCAAATATTTGGAAGATTACAGGAGCATTAGCAGCAGCGAAGCCTGGTGCCCATCACCCACCACCACGTATCCCTCCCCATCGCACCGGGCAGGCAGGAATGTGATGACAGGATTAAGCTGGGATGCCTGGGTTTCTCTGGCTGGGTTTCTCCGGTTAAATCTCAGTGGTGGTGGGTGCTTAACCCCTTCTGTCTCCATCTCCTCCCACTCACACCCATCTTGGGGCGAGTGCTCCTTCACGCAAAGGCCTGAGAGGCAACGGTTAAACTCATTCCCGCCTGTCAGGCAGGTAGAAATCCTCCTGTAGACATTTAAAAAAAAAATTTAAAAAAATTTAAAAATGACAGCTTATCTTCAGTACAGGAAGAGGAGAGCTGCCTGCCTTTCCAATCCACTGGCAGGGAGGGGGGGTTTCTCTTGCTTCAGACA